CCATGTCTACAAAGCAACAGAGCACAATTTCCAGTTTAAAGGCACTTTTCCTTTTTTAATACATTATCAATAAACATACTACCACTAAGTTAGTGTGTTGCAGGAAAGTTTTAATGTATACTGAATAATCTCTGTCCCGTACTTTAAAGAAGAATTTCATTTAAGAGAGAAGTTAATGCAGGGTTTCAAACATTATATAAATGCCTCTGCTCTCCATTCAGCTGGACCAGAAATAAATCAACATAATACTGGACCATCTGGCTATCTCCCATCTACTCCTGCAGCAAACTGAAAGCCTGGTCGGGGCTTGGAGAGGAGGGTTCGCTTTCTAAAACTGTAAGGCATTTCAAAAGCCACATCACAACCGCGCAACGCTCGATTTATCCCACAAGCCACAACAGCGTTATCTTTTTACACGGGTTATTTCTGAGTTTTTCAGGTGGGACATACGGCCATCACAACAGGACGCCTCAAAATTTACGTCCCGTCTGGACAGAAGAGGCGTCACGCTCACCCATTAAAGGGATGGCCAGCTGGCGGCGGAACAGTGTATGGATTCGCTCAAGCTGAGTGTTGAGCAGCTCCTGCTCCTCGCGGCTGGGAATTCTGCCAGGGGGAGGCTGAAAGGAAACAGCAGAGAAAATGGTGTTAAAATTTAGCAAAGGCAAAGTTTAGTCCAACATCAAAGGAATTCAATTCAGCACCTTAAGTATTTGTATTTATTCTGAGTTAAGTGAGAGGATTGCCATTCGAAAGCAGGCTTTAATACAATATTAACCTGACAGAGACAGACTGATATTGCCTGTAACTATACTATACTTTAAATATGTGTGTTTATTAGGGGGTTTTTCAACACAAACAGCAAATGTTATGTACATATATGTTGTATATTTATTAAGTCAAATACATTTTGGAAAACAAACAAACATGAAACAAAACACCAAGAACAACTACCAGTCATAAAATATTAAAATGGTCAATAAAAGGACATATTAAATAGAACATGTGTGCCTTTTTCTGAGTGAAAATGTGATTTTTTTGTTAATGTTTAATCACGTCTTTCAGCGAGGTTAAGTGGGCTGGTGAGTTTTTCAGCTTCTAATTCAACAAAATCAGTCTTTGTACTAATATTGTTATAAAATGTATTATATTATATTGGTTGTTTAACAGCTCCGTGATCACTACTTTCACTCCAATAGCTGCCAGGATTGGGTTCGGTTTCTGTAAAACCTCAGACAAAGTTTGGAATATTTTGGTGCAAAACGTATATTAATGAAGCCGATGCCTGTCCACATCAACCACAAGATAGATTCACTGTAGGTTAAATATGTGTCTACGTGTCTATCTTGCAATGTCTAACACTGTTTTGTAAATTGGCATATACATGTAATCAAACAGCAAGAAAAAGAGAGCACTTGTCTGCCCGCTAATAAGATCAGACCAACCTGTACTGTGGACAGAATGGCGTTCTCAAACTCCCTGTACGCCTCCCACACCGTCTGTCCCTTGGTCATGTGAAGCCCCACAGCTGTCACAGCTCTCTCGAAGATGGATCTCACCTTGTCAATCCCACCTGGGGAGCCCATCCCCCCAATTGAATACTGGGCATACTCAAGCCAAATGTCTGGACCTGGGTATAAAAGACACACAGTTAAATCTTAAGATCATGTAAAGACTGAAGGGTCAAACCAAAGGCAATGACAACGGCACAACGCACTCACAGATATAGTCTTTTTTGGCTCTCTCAAAAAGTTCATACACTTTCTCCCGGTTCGGCTCCTCCTCGGTCAGACGGATCTCATCCTTGAGCCAATCTAGCCAGATCTCTGCAGGATTCAACAAAATGCGGTTTCAGTTGCAAACAATGCAGAGCTGCGGTTAACTGTTGACTGTAGCCGACGTACACCGACCTTCAGTGAGTGGGAAGAGCTCACTCATCTTCTGCCTCGCCTTCCGCAGGCGTAAAAGCTCTCCCTCCTGCTTCAGTAGTTTGATGAGATCCACATGGCAGTTGTAGTCGAAAGCATTGATTGACAGCTGGAACATCGCGGAAAAAAGGAGGGTAAGATGTTGAACAACGCAATTAAATATATCCTAATTAACTCGTGCTTCTACTGTATTTGTTAAGCAGTGATTTAGTAACAGATTTTTAACTAATACTTCATAATAACCATCATGAAGGTACGATTTGTTGAATTAGACCAGACATATTCATTTCAAGGACCCCCACAATAGATAAACATTAGACCACGGACCCCCAGTTTGAAAGGACTCTCTCTTAAAAAGGTTCAGTGTGTTAGTGGATCTAGCGGTGTAGCTGCAGATCGCAAGTTCCCTCGCTTCACCCTCCCATTTAAAGCGTAAAGGACAAACTACAGTGCCCGTGGCTCAGACATAGAGCGGGTCGTCCACTAATCAGAAGGTTGTTGGTTCTGCACGTCGAAGTATCCTTGAGCAAAACACTGAACCCCTAAATTGCTCCCGATGCTGTGTCATCGGTGTGTGAATGTGCATGTTAGTTTCTGGGTGAATGTGTGTGTGTCTGAAAGGGCGAATGTGGCTCGTAGCGTAAAAGCGCTTTGAGTGGCATCTACAAGTACAGATCCATTTACAATTCACGCTTTTGTTTTTTACTGTAGAAACATGGCAGTTAACCATAATGGACTCCAGGGAAGGCAGTCCGCAGCAAATGGAGATATAAACGTCTCATTCTAAAGGTAGCAAAAACTAATGAACACATAGCTATAGCATATTATATTCAATTTCTGCCAATAGATACTGCTTTAAGGAATGCACTCAGAGTTTATAAGTTTAAAGACAATAAACTCTTCACAGTCAAGCACAGATTAAAGAAAGGATGACTCCTGTTTCTTTCCCATGTTGTTACAACTTACACAATAATGTGAGTAAAATATTCTCCTTTTACAACTCACTCAATGACCCCTTGTTGGTCCCCGGACCCCTAGTTTGAAAACCACAGTATTAGACTGCATTACTTTTAATTAGGTGTAACATAAGTAATGCTGCAGCCCTTAAAGATCTAACACTTTAAATAAAGTGAGGACAGTGTGTGCTCTGTGTGTACACACGCACTTTCTTTCTGCAGCCTGTGGTGTTGTGCAGGTCTGCAGGTAGTAAAGTTATAAAAAAATAAATAAATAATAATAAAAGTAAAAGAAAAAAGGCGCGTGTGACACGAGACGAGTCATTAGCATCACGCAGTAGCAACACAGCTAATCACGACAGCTAACGTGAATGACGTCGTATCAAACGCGCTCTTTTAATCTCTCTTTAACTGATCTGGGAGCAGCAGCGGACATCAGCATTACATTAACTCTCAGGTAACGAGCAGAGCAGCCACAGAGCAGCTCTCGGTGTCCCTCCGACCCGCCGCTGAACACGGTGTTTCCCATCCATTCATTCTCATTAGCTCCTCGGCTAGCGCTAGCGTTAGTTACCTGCTCCTCCAGACGCTGGATCTCGGCTTCGTTTTCTTTCTCGTCTTCCGACGACTCGTCCTCTTCGTCGTCTGAATTCTCCACTCCCATGCCCTCTTCTTCCCCGTCTCCGTCCGACTCCATCTCCCTCTCCTCCATCCCCGCATCTTCCTCCTCCATATCTTGCAACTGCGTTTGCTCTGCGCTGCTTGACGCTGCCATGTTGGAAATGCTGTCTGCCTGGTAACAAGCGAACGAGCCCGTCCTGGGAGGTGGAGCCTGTGTACCGGGGTTCCCAGGATGGCGAAGTCATAATCATAATAATCATAATAATAATAATAAAGTCAAGTCTCTACTAAAGTGTTGATCATTAAGTCATTACTAATAATAATAATAGTTCAGTAATTATATTTCTTTATTACAGTAACTAACTAATAAATGTCAGTAATGATATTACTTTATTACAGTAACTAACTAATTAATAACAGTAATAACATTACTTTATTACAGTAACTAACTAATAAATAACAGTAATAATATTACTTTATTACAGTAACTAGAAGTGTAACTAATTACTACTAATAATAATAGTTCAGTAATTATATTACTTTATTACAGTAACTAGAAGTGTAACTAATTACTACTAATAATAATAGTTCAGTAATTATATTTCTTTATTACAGTAACTAATAAATGTCAGTAATAATATTACTTTATTACAGTAACTAGAAGTGTAACTAATTACTAATAAATGTCAGTAATGATATTACTTTATTACAGTAACTAGGAGTGTAACTAATTACTAATAATAATAGTTCAGTAATTATATTACTTTATTACAGTAACTAACTAATAAATGTCAGTAATAATATTACTTTATTACAGTAACTAGAAGTGTAACTAATTACTAATAATAATGTTCAGTAATAATATTACTTTATTACAGTAACTAGAAGTGTAACTAATTACTAATAATAATAGTTCAGTTCAGTAATGATATTACTTTATTACAGTAACTAGAAGTGTAACTAAGTACTGTTGTCAGGGAGTAATAAATAAACAGCTGATTCTAAAACATACTTTGGAAAATAATTTTTTGTTAAATAACATGATTTCCTATTAATATTAACCGATTCTAAATTATAGAGCATTTCACATAAAATACATTTTTTAAAGAAGATACTATGTGTTGTGTTTGTGTTTTATGTATTTCCTTTCTCTTTCTCTTTCTCTTTCCTTTCTTTTTTAGTAAAATAACTATATCTGAAAACTAATTATGATATTTTTTGTTGTAAAAATAAAAAATAAATAAACCCCGCCCTACTCTGCTTCTGATTGGCCTACCCTGACGTTCTTGCCCCTTACTCTAACCAATCCCAGCCCTCCTGCCTCAATCTAACCAATCAAACCAATGAAGGCAACGAGAGCTAGCCAATCAGAGGCCGAGTAGGGCGGGTCATGACTTCGCCACCCTGAGAAAAAAAAAACGTCCGTTAACCGCTAGTGGGCGCTCCTACATCGGCACACACTTCCTGCCTCACTTGTTTGTCAACAAAAGGTGGTCTTCTTCTACTCGTGTTGACTCGTTGATTTCCGTTCACCATCGGGGGATCTGAAAAATGGCGACTGCGTCTTTACGAAACTCCGCGTCCTCGCTGCTGTTATTCAGCAGAAGGTTATTCAGCCCTCAGCTGAACGCGCTCTGCTCATATCACAAAAAGGTAAACAAAATACACGTGTTTTTAAAAGTGTCGACTCATTACTGTAGCCAGCCGTTAAGTGTTTTTATTGACAGTTACCTATAGCGACATAACTTGAGCAGTAATATGTTATCTTCTGTCTGTCTGTCTGTCTGTCCCTCCCAAGGTGGTGGACCACTATGAAAACCCCAGAAACGTGGGATCTCTGGACAAAAACTCCAAGAATGTGGGGACTGGTTTGGTGGGTGCACCAGCCTGTGGTGATGTAATGAAGCTTCAGGTAGGCTGGAGGTCAAGAGCACCAGGGGGTTATTGTTGTTTACTGCTGCCATGGACTTTTAAAGAGCTTCACATGTTGTCTTGCAGATCCAGGTGGACGACGATGGCAAAATCGTGGATGCAAGATTCAAGACATTTGGCTGTGGATCAGCTATTGCCTCCAGTTCTCTAGCAACAGAGTGGGTGAAGGGGAAGTCGGTGAGTTTTTTTTTTTTTTTTGGCACAACCACATTATGGGATGATACAATCTTGCTTCTCTGTTGAGCAGCCGATAAGTCTGCTGTCATCCTCGCAGGTCGACGAAGCTCTGAGGATCAAGAACACAGACATTGCCAAAGAACTGTGCCTTCCTCCAGTCAAGCTGCACTGCTCTAGTAAGTTCAAAGGCTGCACACTCTGGGGTTTATTTAGACAGATATTGAGAAAAACTGTTAAAATCTTGATGATCTGACATGTTTTCTTACTATTTGTTGTAGTGACAGACCTGTAAAAATCAGCTGTTGAATGATGTTAGTGCTCCCTCTTGTGAGGGACGGTGGTGGAAGAGTTAGTTCTCATACATCCAGCTGTAAACATCTGTCTGAATTTCCTATAAAATAGAATTATACATGACCTTTCTTTGTTTTGATTTTGGCATTTTAATGAATATCAGTCGACCACTAATTTGTGGTAAAAAAAAAAAAAAGTCAGTTTCTTGCGATTTCGATAATACTGCCAATAATTGTGCAACCCTAGTAAAAAGCATTAAAATTAAAGAAGTAAAGCAGTGTAAGGCTGTGTTATCAGACACCCCAAAACCTAATAAAGATGGATGACACATTAAAGGAAAACAAAACTGTCTCTAATGATTTTAAACTATTCAGTTTTGATGTTTCTCAACTAACTTCTTCAGGTTTTTCCTTTTAATTTGTCACCTGGTTGCATCTTTCTTGCTAAAAATCAAAGCTAAAACTCCTCTCTCCTCTTCTCGCAGTGCTCGCAGAAGATGCCATAAAAGCAGCGCTGTCGGACTACAGACTGAAACAACAGGACAAGAAGGAGGAACGTGCACAAGCCGGCAGTTAATATGTTGTTATTAACTACCTGTTATGGGCTCTGCAAGGTTTCACTGTTTTGGAAGAGTGGTTCTTGTTTTACTACATCAGGTCTTTCACCTTTCTGGGAGTTTTATACCTTTTTAAAGGGTCGTGGGGTCGCTCTCTTGAATTCAAGACTCCCACGTTGTTCAAGTGATGATCAGAATAGTCATAATCAATGCTGCTTATGGAGTCGGAGGTTCGTGGTACAAATAATACTTTAACTCTAATACTTAAGTTTAAACAAAGAAACTGGACATTGTTGCTACTTTTGCAGTGTTTTTTTCTACACAAACAAGATGAATCAGAAACAGGTTGAAGGTTTTTGTTGTGTATATTGTTTTGGCTTTATTTGGCTTGATTGTACAAAATCACTGCTCCCTCTTGGAGGATTCAGTACGCAACAGCTTTAAGTACACATACAAAACAACAGAATATTGTATGAGACTGTGTGCTTATTGTCAATTAAATGATTAAAAACATCTTCAGTGTGTGTGTGTGTGTGTTGATTTCATCCAGATCCTACATCGAGGGGAGCCACTCGCTGTTGGCGCAGAAGCACCTTTTTCAGTACAAGTAGCACTGCCAGCATCAGGAGAGCGACTAACACGCACAGCACGGCGAGCAGAGAGACGACCACAGCGGAGTCTTGTTGCGTGTGTGGGCGTGGGTCGGGGGTGGGCCAGGGTGCGTCTCTGTTAGTGGAGAGCAAAGATCGTGTCCCTTCGGCAGAGGTCACGTTTATTTGAGGGTACCGACTTGTGATGTTGTCTCTGCATTTCTGTTGCACATCAGGGGTGGACGTGGTGGGTTTTAAATGAGGTGGGCTGACTGTTTTATTGAGGGACAAACACTCCTCGTAGGTGAGGCTCTCTAAAGAGTAGTGTTCAAGTAATAGTCGAGTCTTGGGAGCATCTTTGGAAAGGAGTCCAGCTGTGGTTTCTTGTGAGATTTGCTTTGACAACCTCTGGTTTTCAGGTGAGTTTGGTCCCCTGGGCTCCACAGTCAGCGTCTCCAGCTTTCTCTCCAGGTCAGAGCTGAGGTTCAGTTGAAGTGTCCTCTCATTCAAGACACGAGGACAGATAGCCATGACGGAGAGGTTCAGCAGCAGACGGTGGGCGAGGTGGACCGGCTCGGTGCACACCAGGTCTGTGGCCATCTTCAGCCTGCCGCTCAGCAGCCAGCGGTACAGATACAAAATGTCACACTCGCACACCCACAGGTTGTTGTTGAGGTCCACAGATCGGAGACGAGGCAGGCCGTCGAAGGCGCTCTCCGGGACTGAGCGCAAGCAGTTGCTGTTGATCTTCAGGACCTGCAGGTTGACCAGAGCGGACAGCGAGGGGAGGTCCAGGACAGAGATGCAGTTTGCTGAGAGGTCTAAGTGGGTCAGTGACGGAGGAAGGTCCAGAGGGAGGCTTGTGAGCTTGTTCCCCTTCAGTGTCAGGACCTGCAGCTTGTTGAGAGCCTGAAGTGCCCCGGGTTGGATGGCACGGATGCGGTTGTCCTCCAGATCCAGGCGAGTGAGGTTCCCCAGTTGCCGCAGGGCGCCTGAGGTGATGTAAGTGATGCGGTTTTCTTGCAGCAGCAGGGACTCCAGGCTGGGAGGCAGGCCGCGGGGGAAGCGGGCCAGCAGGTTGTGACTGAGGCTCAGCTCCTGCAGGCCAGAGAAGGGCCGGAGCAGGTGGTCCACGTTACAGAGCTGGTTCCTGGCCACAGATAGAGCCGAGGTGCTGAGAGGGACAGAGCGAGGAAGAGACTGGAGACCCAGGGACTCACACAGAACCAGAAATCCTGGGCGAGGACAGCAGCAGCCAGGAGGACATGGAGACATTATGAGGCAGGCTAGAGGACAGACGCAGAGAACCAGTAGGACACCACATCTGCACCAAAGCATGACTCACTGCGAGGAATAATGAGAGACGACCACATCAGATACACACAGAGCAAATGGTATCAGGACACATACTGAGGCACTCTTAAAGGGGCCAATAAGTAGAAATGAATGGCTTTATTAATGGTCAATAAATAATGCTTTATAGTTTAGATATGAGACATTAACAAGAGATTTTGATAAATCTCCGGCTGGTGTTCGTCCTCCTCCAGCACACACTTTGTCTTTTTTACCTCTTTAATTCATCAGGAAGACGCTCTGACTTGACGTCCAAACAGTGTTTGTCAAGCCAGCTGAGATACTAATTCGTCTCATAATTTGGGAAAAACATGAAAAGTTGTCCAGGAAAATAATTATCCTGTAGATGATGACTAATTTTCACTTAAAAAGAAACTAAATGTAATATTTTTAATAGCTATTTTTAAGTTACATAACATAGGTAGGGTAGGGATTTGGCTTTAACAGCATTACCAATCTATTTTTTTAAAGATCCAGTGTGTAGCATTTAGGAGGATCTATTGTCAGAAGTGGAAAATAATATTCACAGGTATTCGTACTGCCATGTTTCTGCACAAGCCCAGAAGAGACAAACCTAACACTGGCTGCAGATATGTTTATAGGCCACCATAGTTTCTCCTACACACTGATCTCATTCCCAGGTGGTCAAACACAGACCCGACCAGTGTTCAGTTAGCTGCAATCTGCAACTTATTGAAAAGTTATTTTTAAAAGCCCCAAAAATTCAGGTCTTTTGAGAAAACGTTCAGGACTGATGGACTGTTTGACCTCCGACCTTCTTTCAAAAAAAAAAGAGCATTTACAACTGCAGACTTGATAGATTACTATAAGAACCACATATTAATGATTTATTAACATGTTAAATTGCTGATTAACTTCTACCTTTTGCTGTTGGCTTCTGAATTCACAACCAATCAGCATTTATACCTGATTGATGGCTTATTAGAAAGTGAGAAACATGCTAGAAAGAAAACATTCTCATCACTTTATTAACCATTTATAAAACCATTATTAACAACTTATAAACCCCTTTATAAAGGGTCATTAGAATATCAAATAAATAGATAGATAAAGGCACTTACCATTTTTCTATTCCTGTACTATCTGCTCCTCTGAAGAGATGGGCAGGTTTGTCACCCGGGCTCCTCACATGATCTACAGATATAACCACTGTTGCTTGAGAATTCCCGGCAGATGCTCATCAAAGTTTAACGACAGCCTTAAGGTGCTGTATTACCTATTCTGGATCCTCTTCACCATTCAAATTGATTGAGAGGTCCTATTTTTTTGTCAGTGGCTGACAGTGAAAAGGGCCAAACTACATATAGTAAGTAGTTCAGCAAGAGTTATTGTGCAAAAAGCTAGGAAAAATACAGAAACAACACAGGTGTCCCAAATATTCCCTTATCTGCTACCAAAGGTCGAGGTTCCTAAAAGTCAAACAGAGTGAATCTAGCAAACAGGCCTCCAGACGGAGAGCGTTGCCAGGGTGGTCCTGTGGCCCCCCGTGTGTTCCCGTCACCTGGTGGGAAGAGTGAAAGTAAAGGGGTAGTATTTTCTCGAATTATTTAGCGCCTTGTTGACAAAGGGAAAGGGAATCTGACCCTAGTGCGAGGCTCTGTCAGGGCTCACGTTTCAGCCGCCACAGCGTGACTCTTTGCCTTTGAGCTGCTCTGCTGTCATCTTTGGTGTTTGATCTTTGGCAAGTAGTCACACTTATGATTACGATCAGACTTTTTCTTAATCAAAAGTGGTTTGTGCTTCGAGCATTTCTTGCAATATTTAATCATATTTTTAACAACATTTGTAATTCATTTTAACAACAGATTTCAGCTGTGGTCAGAATGCACCCATATCAAGAATGAAGTGGTAGATTTAATGTAAAAACAAATACATGACTGATGAATCAATACTTGTTCTGTTCACACGAGGGCAGTATTTCATTGCTCGTTCAAATTATGAGAAATTATTAGAATTTTTAGTTTTAACTTCACTGGAACAAATCAGTGCCTCCAAGATTTGCATAAACAATACATGAGCTCTTGTTTTGGAGCGAAGGGCTCTGTATGTATCTGGTTTACTGCTGCTGAAATATTTAAACAACCTTGTACAGTAGCCAGTGAAGGACAAAGGGGTCTCGTCATCTCCAGGCTCTAATACCTTTCCGCCGTCCTGTGTTTGGGTGTGATGGTGCCGACTGCCTCACTCAGGCCAGTCCTAAAAATATGGAGTTACTGTGTTTGTGTGTGCACAGTTTACGTTTGAAATGTTAAGTTAGAAGACAGCTCCAAAGGGCAGATATCACACATCTGACATTTTAATTACCTTAAAAATAGTGACCCAAGATTCTCGAATGTACGCAGCTTCTAAATTACAGATTCCAGAGTTGAACATAATGTGCACGTAGAGCGGAGCATCCTCTTTTTTAGACCTTCCTCGCCTTTTCTAATCTTAGGTTTCTTCAGGGGTTGTAGTTTTGTCTCTCATCATGAAACAGTTTCTCGCTACTTCTCCAATAATGACAGAAACAACCTTTTTATTCAACATAAGCAAAACAACATCGTCATTTTGTAAACAATAAAACTGTCACTTACAGAGGAAGCATCTGTCTGGAAACATCTGAGGACAACAATCTGAGGTTCAACGGAGTAAAGTGTTTAAACATGACAAACTTCTGGCCCATAAATTGTACAAACTGAAGTGATCACACATTTGGTTCAGATGCTCAGAGTCTTTAACTTGAGGACTGGGACAGTGAGTTGGGTAGTTTTTACAAATCATCATTCTCCTTTAGCCACCAGGACCATGGGTGCTGGAAGTACAGGGGGCTGATGGGGCTGATGTGTAAATCTGGCATAATGAAAACCATTAGTTCATAACATTTTTTAAACTTCCTTTTTATTACTGAGATTTACACGTGTACACTGGTATTTATGGCAGGAAGGAGGTTTTGCCTTGTGTTTTATCCACTAAAAAGTTATAAATATGTGTAAAATGTTAATAACTATTAAATACGCTATTATGATCCTGGTCATTCAAATAAATGCAAAAACTAGTGTAAAGACTTTAGTATATACTATAAAGTCATTATATAGACTAACTTTCTCTCTGCACCCCAAACTGACTGACTTCCAGCATGTTGATTAAAAGTTTAACATATCACAAGAGCAAAACCAGCCAACTTCTGTCCCTGTACTCAAGTTTTTTGACTCATTACAAATTATTACATTAAAAACAAAACCCATAATTTATCTTATACATTGGTACTTATTTAGAAAAACCTTAAACCCTGATTCACAAAGTTTTTACACCAAAAAAAGCCTGCTTTTAACGTACGACAGCTGACGGCAGATGATCAAACTTATCCACCAAATAAATATGTTATGACACACACATAGTAGATATATATATATATGTGTGTGTGTGTGTGTGTGTTCAACCTCCCAGAAATAACACTTTGCTTTTGGTGTAAAACTGTGTGAATTAGGGTTCTTATTAAGTAGAATACAATATGATATGACATAAAATAACATTATGCAAACAAAATTAAAAGTAAATATGAAAGTAAATATAAAGAGAACATTTTGTTACTTATCAAATCAAGTTTACTGGCACTTCACTTTGCTTTATTTACAGCAGCAAAGATTTTTGCTCTAAATGACAGACCGGTTGAGCCAAAGCTGCTAAAAAGACGCCATGGTGTACAGCAGGCAAAAGGAGGAACACATCTCTGTATCACATGAATACTTACTATTTTTCTCATTTCTATTTGGAGAGCATGGAAAATTACAGGCTACGCATTCCTTTTCTTGAATTTCTTGAACCAAATCCATATCTGTAAGAAAAACTTTTATCTTACTGTTTAAACTGAACTTCAACTACACAATGATCAGTCTAATCCTTGTTAACCCCCCCCCCGCAATACTAAAGTACAACAGACCACTGAGCTACTTTTAATTTGAAAGGCTGCAGCATTCAAATAGATCAGCCGTAGTTTTCCACATCTCCCAGTTAGTGTTTTTAATCTTTGTATGAATTAAAAAATTATGCAGTAGCACAATATTTGATTTCTGGTCACATATCTTCCATCCTGCTGTTTTTCATTGGTACCTTTTTAACACTCACTGAGTCAGTCCCTCACTTTCAATATCACATCTTGGTACAACTTCCTTTCTGTTACAGACAATGCAAAACTTTCTCGGATCCTCGAGCATTAAAGTAAAATAACAGGCAATGACAGTCCTCACTCTCAGGTCTCTACGCCAAGGCAGTTAGACAAAAAGCAACCCTCAACCCCTCCACAACTCATTCCAACTCATCAAGCCGCCATTATAAAATCTCTCTGTCCTAGCCAGAACAAATATATTCAAAAACTAATTCACACCAACTGCCATGAACATGATGAACAAGCTATGACGGTTTTTAACTGTAACTATAAATGCAACCAGTATCTAGGTCTTAATCATTTTTTTAATGCTATGTACAGCATATATTTCTGCTACATGGTTTTTTTTTCTCTATCTATACCTGCGTGAGCCTCGTCAAAGCCAAATTTCCGTCGCTTTGTGACAAAGTTTTTCTGATTCAAAATTCTGATTCTTTACATAACACGTCAGGCTAACCCTCATTAATACGTTTCTTCCGGGCAGTTGTAAAACGTTATTTCTGATCTGCATCACAATGGATTTAAAGGACCAGTGTGTAAGATTTAGTGGCGTCTAGCGGTGAAGTTGCAGATTGCAACCAACTTGAGTCTGGATTTGACGACCTGGGAATGAGAACGGGCTGTGAAGCATTATCTACAGCCAGTGTTTGGTTTGTCCATTCTGGGCTACAGTAGAAATGGTGGACGCTGCACCATCTGTAGATAAAAATGGCTCATTCTAAGGTAACAAAAACAATGATTCCTGTAATCGGGTAATTATACACTAACAAAACATACCTATGAATATTTTGCTCCATTTCTTCCAATAGAGCCTCCTAATGTTACACACTGGACCTTTAAAGTTGTTTTTCTCATATATGTGCAGAATAACCAACCTGTCTGATCTGGTTTTTATCTCATCAGCCTTGAACGTGCCCTAGTGGTGGGCCTTTTTCAAATGGCAGGTGCAGACTGGCTGACTGGAGCTGGAGCTGGTGCTGGGGCTCTGCTGCACCTCCTCCCGGTGCTTCGCCTGCTCTTTTTGCTTGGGCTCCTCTCTCCGCTTTTCCACCTCCTCGGCCGCCCTGACCTTTCTGACTTCCTGGCGAGGCGATGACCTGACGTCCCTGCCCCTCTCTCCCACCAGAGCCTTGGAGGGCATGCGCAGGTTCTTGGGGGAGGCCATGCTCTGAGTCTGGACCCTCTTGACGTGGTCGACAGCGTACGGCCTCTCTTGGAGCTCGCTTGAATTCTTGCTACCGCCGGTTTTATCCGCCACATACTTCCTGGGTGGATTAGGAGGCGGTTTGTAGGCCTCCAGCTTGCGCTTATGACTCATGGCAGAGGCACAGCAGATGATGAAGACCATGACGATGAGAAGAGAGGTCACGACGATGATGATGAGCAGATTCTCCTGCAGGAAATCGACTACTCGGGTCAGCACGAAGTCCTTCAGGCGGATCATGGTGGTGGTGATGGTGTTGGTGAGGGTGGGAGCTCCAGGAGCAGCAGTGATGTGAGCAGGTGCTCGAGTGGAGAAAGAGGTTGGAAAAAGGAGCTCCAGTTCTGCTTCGTCACCGCTGCCGTCCATTGATATGTTGTAGAACAGAGGAGTGGCGTGGCACACACTGCACCACAGTGAGAGCAGGGTCACACAGGTGACGAGGGAAGCCAAGCGAGACTTCATCTTCTCTTCTCCTGCAACAACAACAATGGGATTGGATTGAGAAATACACTTGAGAAAGAAACCAGTCTCACTTCTCGAAGTTAATCACGATGCCCGAGCCAGGATGTGATTACCCTAAACACTGAAAACAGCTAGCTTGGCTTTATTCACAGGTAACAAACTGCATCTACAAGCACCTCTAAAGCTCTTTAATTAACACTAATTGTATCCAGTTTGTTTAATCTGTACACAAACAGAAATGTGCTCCAACTTCAGCCTGGTGGAGTTTGCTGGTTGACAGGACTCCAGTGTTAGAGGAACTGGTCGGTATATATTTTAACTTTGGACAGGTCCAGGCTAGCTGTTTCCCCCTGTTTCCATTCTTTGTGCTAAGCTAAGCCACTCGCCTCTCAGCTATTCACTGCCCAGACTTGAGAGTGGCATTGATCTTCTGACGCGTTCCCCACAATGTCAGTGTCACACACTGTATGTGAGTTCAAGATTAGGAAAAGTCAGGAAAAATAAACTTTTTAAATAATTTTGTGACCCTTTAGATTTTTCTCTCAACCTGTTGATGGGTCCCAACCATCTAGTTGGGAACCATTAACTATAGATCAAACACATATTGAAAAAGTAAAACAACTCTCTAAATCTGAAATGTAACTTCAGCATCCATCTCGACTCAGGTTTTTCTAGGTTTTCTGCCGTTCCTCATCTTGCACCAGATCTATTTTAGCAGGCAGCAGAGTAGCCATTACTTATTTGGGGTGGAGACAGCGAGTTTGGCGCTGGAGGCCTTATAATTTGTAAAGTAGAGGGAGGCCACCCATCCACCACACCAAAGCCAGGAGGAAGCTTATTCCACAGGGAGCCCAGAGGCGTGGGAGACCTGCGGCTGTGGCCTCTATATTTACACTGGGCAGCAGCTGCTGTACACCAGGCCACAGCAGCACAGACCTGATGAAGATATTTCTGCTTCCAGGGAAAACCTGCATTTACAGAAAAAGTGCAACGGACTGAATAAACTTCCCAACCCAATATTACTATTCTTCCATTATTCTCCCTCCATCCTTTTTAAAGTAAGGTCAATCTTTAACAAAGAAAACTGCCACCAGTGGAACTCAGTCTGTTACCATTTAAAGCCTGTTTAACTCTTTACAGTGTGTAATTACACGGCGCTAAGCTGTGAAGACAAGCTTCTAATCAGCATCATGCTATAGTGAACCTGCTCTGATTTACACTGTACAGTGTGAACCCCCCCACCACCACCTCCCTCCCTGTGTGGTCAGACATACAGTATGTGCTCTGCTGGACCAGATGGTAGGCTGGGTCTTCATCCTTGTATGTACAGCTATAGGACGCCGCTGCCCCCTGAGTCCGCATAATTACAGCCATGATTGTATTTCCTGTATTTCACTGGAGGGTCCACATTACCGTCAACTGAAGGCCACCAGACACCACATATGTAATTAATCCATTTTATGACATTGGAGAACTTAATGTCTCAAACTCCTCTTTTTCCCTGAGTTTCTTAAAATTTACAAAAAGTTCTCACCACACTGTTTGAAAGTATTTGATATGTAAGTATTTAAACCCCAGAATAAAAGTCCTAGGCGTCTTGGATGTCATTTATTAGACATAAAACTAAAAATTCAGTCTGACATACGTAGTAGTTTTAGAAAAGTCTCGACCATAAAACTAAAAATAAAGGTAAGAAAGTTTTAACAATACTTGGCCAGACAACACAAATTTGCAAAGATGGAGCCACTGGAAGAGATCAGACCATCTCAAATCATATTCTTACATAAAACATTATCGATGTCTACACTTTTACTAAAGTAAAACCATGTAAGAATATTCCACTACAAGTAAAAGCCCTGTATTATAAATCTTAATTATTAGCAAAATGTACTTAAAGTATCAAAGTAAAAGTATTCGTCATGCAGAATTACATTGTTATATATCATTATTTGATTATTTTAACAGTTGTGGAGCTAATTTCAACTACATTATACTGGTTTGGTGTTTAATCTGTATCAATGCAACATATTTTATAAACTGATCACACATTTTGTATGACAAATCTTAATTTGTAAAGTAACCATAGCCATCAAAAAATAAGCAAAGTAGAAGTATAAAGTAGTATAAAATGGAAATACTTGTGTAAAGTACAACAATCATACTGCACGTACAGCACGTAGTTACATCTCACCACTGCATGTTAAATAACGAGAATTTACCAAATGGATCATAACATTTTAACCTTTGCTCGGACACACAGACTGCAGTTACACTTTTGTTGATAACAGCCATTTTAAATTCACGACAAATATAAATACATACTTACAGAATAAGTTATCCTGGGGTTTCTCTTCTGAACAGCACAGCGCGGTGCAGAAGACAGAGAAGGAAATAAAGTGATGAGAGGAAAGTAAGAGTGAAAGAGGGTTTCCGAGCATCCGCCCTCCCTACTCTGTTAGACCTACTGTTTTTTCTCCCTCCTTGAGCTCTAAAAGGTCTCTTTGCTGCAAAATGATGATCCATCCCTCTATTTTCAGCTTCTCCTCCCTCTTTCTCAACCTCCCAGTTTTCATCCTCCTGCACTTAACCATTTTTTTTACTGTACATTTTATTCTGATATTATAAAAGGGCGTCTGTGGCTCAGTAGGTAGAGCAGGTCGCCTACGAACTGCAAGGGTTGGTGGTTTGATTCCCTGGCTCCCCTCTGTCCATGTGTTAAAGTGTCCTTGAGCAAAACTGAACCCAAAGTTTGTCTCTGATCACCCGCTGCTCCTACAGTGTGTGACTGGTCGAATACAGAGGACAAATTTACATTCAATTGATATAATTAATGAAAATAAAGGCTTTAAAGGCCCTGATTCTGTACATAGAGACACGGAGTAATACTATAATAACACTGTTTCTAGAGTGGGTCTTCATTTTGTATTAAAGTGTAATATATACCACAATGCGTGCTGATTTATTCAAAGCAGGACGTTCTGCTTCAAAACTCAGTGCAAAGGCACTGCAGTTGGTACATCAGTCCCATGTTTTAGGGAAATGGGTATTTCTGTACTTGGCGGGGCGAGTCCCAAGACTCCTCTGCCTCCCACTGAGTCCTCTCTAATTAAGTCCCCGTTGATTACAGCCTGTCTCCACAGGGCATACAAGACCAGCGCAGAGAGAAAGCACCCCTTTCATCCCGAGAAACACATGTACAGAGCGAACATATAAACTTCATGGTCTTTTACGGGCACTTATCTCTGGATACGTCTCTAAATATGCGGGGACGGCTGTTTAAGGGCTGCTCAATCCTCCTTTCTGCTCTCATTCAGTTGTTTTGACAGCCGGTGTGAGGTGTTGATATTAAAGCTGCTCAGACTGAGAGCTGAAGTGTGAACAAGGTAGCAATCTTTCCAGTGATCCAGGGATTATTTCTGTGTGTGTTTGCCTTAAAATAGTTCTGTGTTTCTGATTCATGCTGTAACAGAGACTTGTCATTGAGTGTTATAAAGTACTGAAATAGTGTGTTTAGTTATTTTTAGTGGCTCGAACACAATAGACTGTAATAGATCATGTTCAAAGTAACATGTCTGCTCACATTTATACTGTGTATTGTCTGTGTTCTGCAAACTACAGAAAACAATTCATTTAATTTTAATTTTGGCTTAAATTCAGGCAACTGTACACAGGGGCAGCGGCCACCCCTACACGTCTGATGCCAGCTTTACATATTTCTAGTCAATGCTTTACTAATGTGCCACAATAATGTCATGTCAATGTTTTTGAGGTAGAATATATTAATTTTGGGGCTTTTCCAAGCAAATATTGACATATGTGATTGTTTGTGATAAAATCAACATATGAACAATGAATATTTCTCCAGTTACGCCCCTGACTCCACACTCCATTCACTGTTTTATACCTGTTCAGTTGTTTCACTGCAGCATTAGACAGATTAGATGAGGAATGTAAAGATATATAGTGAAACAGTTAAATTTTGGTATCAAGGCACAAAGAAACATGCCTCAGAAATAAAGAGAAAATAAATGTTTGAGAAATAATTAAAAATAATTATATAACTATTACTATTATAAACTATTATAAAACTATATTGTGAACCCTGCATGGTGAATTGTTTTAAATCAACATAAGGTTGCCCATACCTTGATTTTTGATATGCCATCAGATGATGTAAACAGTTGGGGTCGCTCAGTACAAGATGGTTAAAACAATAAAATACATGTTTAGTTTCTTAAAATACAGATCATATATTCACATGATATGGTTGCTAATATATTTATCTTGTTGTCAACAAATACCATGAAAACAAAAGCAAGTATTTTCCATGTGACCAGAGCCTGTAGAGCAGTGGTTCCCAACCTTTCTCCTGAAGACTACGTGACATATTTTATGGATAATAACTGTAAAGAACTGATAAACTGGAGAATGAACACAATCACTGCGGGAAGTTTGTGTAAAACGAGCGGTTTGGATGCATTTTGAGCAGATTATTTCCTGTAGATATTACGTCAGTGGTGAGTTTTTTGATGGTTTCAGGAACTTTTTATACAATTCTGTGTCTGTACTGAGTATTTTTAATTTAATAACAATCACACATTTTATCAAAGCAAACAACTTCATTTAGTTCTCTCCACAGAATTAAACAAAATGCTGAGATATAGGCCTGTTGTGTATAGTTTTAAAGTTTTCTTACACCCCTTGAAATCCTTAAAACTCCATAGTTGTCCTAAAGAAATGAGTTAAAGCTGTTGTTCTGACACGTTCCTTCCTTATGATGAAAATGGGAACTGTAGTTTATTTTGAGTCCCTCTCACATACACTGACTTGCTGCTGTAAACACTCACTAGAGCACCAAGAGTGTATTGATCTGCAGCTGAAATTAGTCTCCCAACAAATAAACTCCTGTTTAATATCTGATAAAAAAAAACAAACAGTCAACAGTAATGAAGAAGTTACATCAGCACGTTTGCCAATTCAAAACTGTACAATGAGCCCATTTTAAAAATTCTTTATTAATTTTTCTTATAATCAATGTTTGATACTTGAAGCAAGAATAATGAACAAAAATGCTGAGCAGACCTCCACATGAGGCTTCATCCTGGTTCGTTATCGTCTGATTTTCTTCCTCGATATTCATACGACCTCCAATGTAACAGAGGTTCTGCTTTTTCTCATGATGCATTATGGCAAGGTGCAGGGAACACAGACAAGGGGAAACATTTAAAACCCACCTCCCATACAAATACCCTCTTCAGCACGACCACAGAACGAAAAAAAGGAAAAGAAAAGAAAAATACAGAAAATATGGTCATGTTATTTACACAGCTTTCACTCATTTTTCTAGACCTTAATTACAAACATACATCTATCTTTCAACTGCACATTTCTCCAACCTACAGTGTCCCTTTGGATCGCTATTCACTACTACTCCTCAACAGCTAGCTCTCACGCCAACAGTGCTACACAGAATCCATAGAGTGGCAGTCTGATATACAAGATAGGGCAGTGTAATCTGTGTCAGACAAACATTTCTGTCGCACTCTGGACATTTTCCTGTCGCTAATATTCTACGACGTCGCTGCTCGAATGGCGTCTTAAAGCATCGATGACTCAAAAAAGGCCGCGCCGACAGCTTCTCGGTTTGACATCGTTTTTTTTGGAGATCTTTTGAATACCCGTACCGAGGTGAAAAGCGTCAAAAAGTCAGGGGCACAATGCTTCGAACAGACCCCCCCTCCCCACACCTGTGAGCTGTAATGCTTCCTGTTCCTTCATGTATTGTGGGATGAATTGACAGGTTTTTTTGTGGTGTTATCCAAGGGGGGGGCTGCATACAGTACTTTAGGAACAGGGTCCTTTGAATATAGCGTTTGCACTAAGTATAGCACCTCAAAGTGGTTTTAAATCCGGGTACCTATCAGCTCTTCCACTTACTACACAAATCTACTCACACAACAATCCCCCTACAAACACTTCCGTGGTCACCTCTATGGCACTTTCAGGTCTTTACAGTGGTAACAAATATTTGAAGGCAAACAACAGACTGAACCATTACCCGTCTCAGCTTCCCACTGGGAAACAAATCTAAAACATCAGGAAGAGCTTTTTTTAAGTTTTATTTTTATTTAATTAAATCGTAGCTGTCTGATCAAAGCAGCTCACACCGGACGACTCAATGGTTCCTTGATCTTGTAATAACTATACTGAATAAGGGGGCATCTGAGAAACAACCTTAAAAAAAAAAAAAAAAAAAAAGAAACAACCAACAAGTGGAAGTGCTAAGAGGGATATAAGCACAGCTGGAACAAGAAACAGGCTAAAATTAACAGTGAAGCAATAACCCAACTATTCAATTCATCCAAGTTAGAGGCAAGTCTTGGACGTTCTACTGTGAGTCCATTTCGTAACCCAACCCCACCCCCCCACCCCAATAAGAAACAAAGCAGGAATATCCATAGTGACAGGTACCCAAAAGACCAAAGACATGAGGCACATATTCACACACACAATCTAGGCCTTTAAGGTCTATCATAAACAGTTTCTGTAGCAATCTCCAGTTGTATCACCAGATGGTTTTAAATAGTCAAGTCAACGTGTGATTACTTGGTGTCACCTTTTTTTGTTGTTTTTCTTTTTATAATCCATTCCTGTTTCGTCTGTACAGAAAACACAGATCTGAGATGGCGTACAATGCAAAAGGAACCATGACAAGAAATAATCCCACTACACTTGACTGCACTTGAGCAAAAAAGGAAAAGCTCCCGTGGATATCTAACACAGAGGCTCGGTGACTGAACCTCTCACAAAAACATAGCAGAGCTGAGGTTGAAAATCCACAGTTGGTCTTTCCATGGGCAGCGCATGAATGTCACAATAACAACCAACCAGTGTAACTGAGTCACTACAGTAGAGTGTTTACAGAAAGAGGAACTTTAGAGAAGCGTTTCTTTTTTTCTACCCTCCCGATCCCCACCCCCCCCCGCGCCTGAAGAACTGCAGATGAGATTTGTGGAATGTGTTTTGTCATTTTTCTCCAATAAGCACACAGTGCGTATTAATGAAGCAAGATAGAAAGGAATGCACGTTTACATGGACTATTGTCCACAGTCGGGAACGACGGGAAGTAGCGGGGAATGAGAGGAAATGGTCGAAAAAAGCAGGTGTTCATTTGTGCAGCTTCAACAGACAGTCAGACTTGCTGTTTTTACGTGACGTCTGTGTGCTCGGTGTAGACAGTGGCAGATAAATGTGAATGAATTTCCTCCTAATTTCAGAGTTTGGGCTGTCAATCTAATTAGTTTAATCTCATAGTATATTATTGATTTGAATCTCCTTCTCCTTACATAACCAGTCTACTGCACTGAGCTTTCCCTGTTTGCATTTGGTTTGAATCTTACCACAAAGAGAGAGAAACAAATACTGTCAAGGAGGTGTAAACAAAATTTCAAAAAAATTTGGCAACATTATAATTTTGGGGTACGGTAACGTGAAACACTGATATCTACTTAAAAAAATATTTGGGTATGCAATGACAAACTGGAATTTTTCTTGGTCATATTTCTAAAATGCAAAAGGAATATGCAAGACCTTTTTTTTTTTTTTTTTTTTTAAATCCAAGTAGACAAAATAAAAAAATGACTGCCACACAATAAAAGGAAAAAAAGAGTCCTTTGTCACCAAAAAAGCGAGAGTATTTTTCTGCTAAATTTGCCACACGTCCTTATTCCACCTGTGTTAAAGTGAGGGTCGGGGGCTGGCTAAGAAAAAGTTCATCTGGAATGTTGCTAGGGATCGTTGCTAGGCAGGCCTCAGACGAAACACTGTCATTGAGATAGGCAGTGACTGGTCCCGCCCACCCCCTAGCCAATGGAACGTCCTGAATTGTAGCGGGTTGGGTAAAGGGTCCCTAAATGGCAATTTTGGACATTTGCTCTTCAAGTTTGATGATTCGCTTCTCCTGACTGCTGACGAGGTCCTTGAGGGATTTGATTTCTTTCAAGATCTCCTCCAGCTTGGCTTCAGATTTCTGTGGGAGAGACGAGAGACGAGTGAGACTTTCTGGTATGTTTTTCTACCCACAATGCAGCTACAACCGCCCCTCGCTGTGAAACAAACACACAGCTACAGACACATGTGAAGCACAACAGTGAGATTTGAGACACTTCCCGTCTTAAAGCCGCTACCTACAGTGCTAGACCGTATGCCAGGTGGCAGGGTCTGGTACTCTGGGGGTTAACATGTTTCGCCAGCACTGGAGCCCAGTGGGCCTGTGATTACAGAGCAGAACTGCAGAGACACACATGGGCTGGGTCCCAGGCGGGTGGCTGTGTTGTGGGTGAGGTGCGGCAGGACGCCCAGCAACAGGCGCCCAGAGCAGCAGCAGACCCCTCAGTTTGTGGGTCAGAGAGTGGGTTGAACATCATCTACAAACCACCTCAGGAAGACAGCCAGCAATCTGCCCTGCTTCGAACATATACAATTTGTCTGCTTGACACTGGGAGCCCCAGAGAGGCGGCTACAAAGCCAGCAGCGAGGGGCATTAATGACGGAGACGGAGGTGGTAGTCAGGAGGACAGACTCTGATGTTTGATGATGGGTGGTAAGGCTTTGAAATATATTGTTTATTCCATCATCCTTATCACATGAGGGGTTTTTTTGGGTGGGGAACTGTGGTACACAAAACTTGCTCTTAGACAATTCTTCATCTAAATAAAGGCTACAGTGTTTATATAAAACATCACTTCCCAATATCATACAGTGTAGAGCTGAAACAATTAATCAATCAACAATAACAAAACAAAGAATCAAAAACTATTTGATTAATTAATCGTTTGAGAATAAAGATGTTTCTTTTATGTAATAGTAAACTGAATATCTGTAGTCTAAACTGAATATGTTAGTCGGATAAAACTAATAAAACTTTAATTACTTTTACTTTGTTCTATTTATTTTATTTTTATTGCTTCCATTCTGCTCTTACTGTTGTATTTTGGTTTTTATTTTATTTTTTTTACATTTAATTCAATTTTGTGTATCAGAGCTCTCTTTCATTCTTATGAATAAATTCTTATCTTTTTATGACTTATGAATACATTTTACTGTAAATTATTGTTGTTTTGTAGCACAAAGGGAACTAAAATCTGATTTTTGGAAATGACAAATAACCTTAATTTAGAAGAAAATCCACTGTATCCTGCCCAGCTGTAAAAACAGTGAGTGGCCTACATTTATCAGAAAATAATCAAATACTCACAATCGATGGAGTTGGGGAGGCAGACTTGTTGGCAGGGCTTGAGTTCTCTGAGTTCTTGGTGACCTTGCTGTCCAAAATGTTCTTTTTGACCACCTTGAACTCGCGGTTCTTGCCCGGGACGTAGCCGTTCTTGAGGGAGATGGAGATGGGGTCCCCATTCTTGCCGTCAAACCAGTCCTCAGCCTCCAGGGCAGGGTCGGGTCCAGCAGTGTCTGGGTACAAGTCATCCTGGAACAGGTCCGACTGAAAGGGGGGAGGAAAGAGTGACAAGCTGTGAGGAAAACTCTATCTATACACAGACACATTATAAACACGAGGCTTCACCGGGCTGCCAGGGATTCAACAAACAGACTGGAGGTCTAGTAACTGCGTGCAAAGTGGTCACTTAGGATGAGGACTCACCTTTCTAGGTACAGTCATCACGATAGGCTCACACTTCCTTTCGTGCAGTTTATAGAACCTGGCAACATGCAAATTCAATTATTACACAATTCAGTGCATTATTATATTATATTATTATATTATTATTATAACAACAGCAAGAGAAACATCCTAAAACAGATTAGTGATCATATCATGGTTATATTCTGCCTCCTAGTGGCGAAGCTAGGATTTCCACATTATATCTGGTTGACTGAAATCAAAACTCCAAACTCATTCTGGTGCCAGAGACGATGATTAGCCATCCGGCTTAGCTTACCTCGCAATTTCGCACTTGTTGACATCGAGGCCCCTCTTGGGCATGTAGCCCATGCCCCTCTGGGGCTCCTTGGTGGCGAAAGTGCTGAGGAAGTGAACATATGGAGCCTCATCTGTGATTTCAAAGTAACGGATGCTGCTGTCACCCTGTCAAGAAATAAAAGGCAATGTTTTATTTCTGTATTCAGCTTTGTGGAAATCTAATTTACACTTACAGTGCAGTTGTAATGATACTTTATTTGACTATTGGGGTGCTTAAAAAAAGAGAACTTGCCTTCCCACAGAGGTAAACAACATTGGTGTCTGGGTCATAGAAGGGCAGGAGCACTCCGTTGCTGGTGTCCATCTCATTAACAGTCATCGGCTCGTCCATGTTTGACTGGAGACACAAAAAAAGCAGAATGATAAATCAAAGTTGTGTTGGAGAGATTACACAGAGAAAAATACGGACTATAAAAAGGTAATGGCCTTCAGAAAACAGGAAGAAGAGGTTGTCTGCAAAGATGGTTGAACTTTTAATAACCATGAATACTGCAGCATATTCCAAAGTAATAAAGATTAATTTATACAGTTGACTTTAATGAATAGCTTGCTCTCTGAACAATCTATATTCTCTGGTGGAAATCAAGTATTGTAAGTTCTTTATTTCACATTAATTTCACATTGCAACTGATGGTGGTGCAGTCAGCATACACGCGGCAGCTTACCGTGTTCCAGAGGGCTAGCTGTCTCTCACTCATGCGACTGAAACCTGTAGTGAGGACGTTGCCATCAGAAAGGAAAATGGCCCTCATGGGTCGAGCGCCCTCATGTGCCTTCTCCTTCTCCTGTGAAGTACAGTTTACGGTCAACACAACACATCTGTGCCCAAGTCACCATTTCCTGAGCAGTTCATTATTTCACCTACTTTTACTTTTTCTTCTTTCTTTCTTATCGGTAATCTTACGCTCCTGGTCAATTTCTATCTTATTGTTGATGTCTTTAGATGTGTTTTGATGTCTGTCAATCACAGTGTAAACTCTACTTTTAGATAAGTAGCAACGCAAAGCATTTTTTTAAGCTTGAAACCTTTTTTCCCCCCACTTGATTTGTTCTAAAGGTCAGAATGAGCTACACAGCAATGAACCAGAGTTATTATAGTTTTGAATTTTTCATTAGTTTATTTAATTTCCTTTTAATTTCTTTGTTTTTGTCTACAAATGTTAGGTTTTGTTTAGTTTTTATTAGCTTCAGTGTTTTTAAAATAATAATATGGAAGCTATTTTTCGGGGGAAAGATTTAAGAGGTTCAGAATAGGAATTACGTCATGTAGACGTCTCATTCTTGTTGTATTGACAAATTTGACCAAACTGACAAAGACTTAAACTAAAGACATTTTCTTTATCTTTTTATTTTAGTTAGTTTTGTAAGTACACACAATTGTTTCAGTTAGTTTGCATGTATAGTTTCTAGTTTTAAAATATAGTAGTTTTTAGTTTAGTTTTAGTTCACTATAATAACCAACAAACCTAAATCCAGTGTCATATTCTAGGACAGTTTTAAGGGAACAAGGTTGCTGAACTCAGGACTTTCAGCTGAAGCAGTCCTCCTGCTTGCAACCCCATCTCACTGCCCCTATATCAATATCTACCTCTCACATACTGCAGATACACTGAAATATACACGAGAAAATGTCACAATAAAGAGATCTTTGGAAACTGCTTACAGCAATAATCGTCTCCTTGCGGGGGTCGATGACACGGATGCCCTTGTCCTTGCAGGAGGTGCAGATGAGGCTACCGTTGCGGTTCCAGCACACGTTGTAAATGACATCGGGGTGCATGTCCTCCAGGTTGATCATAGCCTCTCCTGTGCCCACGTTCCAGATGATGATCTGGTTGTCGCAACCTGACGACAGAGTGAAGTAAAGGTGAGCAGGACGTCAGCACACACAAGTCACTTGTTTCACAATTTCAGCAAGTTTTGAAGGTTTATGCTTCATTCAGAAGGATTCAGGCAGAGGGTAGACTGCAGATGGACAGCACTTTCTTGACAGCACGGGAAAAACAAACAAACAAACAAACTTTTGTACAGAATGGTAGGCAGCAAAAATAAAACACGCATGCCGATATGTTGCTAAGGGGTTGTTGTATTGTTTACCAAGACTGGAATAAAATATATTGAATCCAAGGTACAATAATTATCGTCCGATAATGGGAAATTTATATTATGATCAATAAATTACCGGTTGATATTAATGATAATTCATTTTAAATTCTTATGCAAAATGTTTGATAGCTTTTTATAGAACATAAAACCTAAAAGTGTGTTTGTGAAGTTTTTTTAATGAACTACTATAAAAAAAAAAGAAATGAACATTTGAAGAGTCAGAACCGTTGTTGTTGAACTGTTGTTGTGTTAACAATAGTGATGTAGATTTGGTTATAACAGATCTATAGAATATTAAAATCATCCATTACTTGCTCACTACATCTTAACCTTTTATACCCTCGGGTGTGTAGAAAACACAGGTTATGAACTTCTTTTTAAAATACAAAAATTTGAAATTTTTGGTTATTTTATCTTTTTTTTTTTTTAGGCAATGACAGCCTATAGTTTTATAGTTTTGCCGTCCTGCTCCCATCCACCAACAGGATGTCCAGTTTGCCGTCCACAGTCTGTCTGATTTCATGTGAATGCAGCATTTCTGTGAGGGCAGCCAGATTCCAACCACATTGTTTAGCAGATTAAAGGACACAGTGAGAGCTCTTACCTGCACTAAGAAGGACATTGCGTGCTGTGGGGTGCCATGTGATGATGCCAACGCGCTTGGAGTGGCCCTCCAGCACCACTACTGGCTCAGACATGGCAGTGACAAGGCCATTCTCAGGAATCTGCCACACCTGTGGAGGACATGAGCAGATCAGACAGTGAAGCCAGCTGGAGGGTCATTTTTTAACCCTTAAATATTTCACAAAATTATAAATCCTTATAGATTTTAACGTGAATACGTCAACCCCCGCATACCAACTGCAAAGAGGACTGTTCCTGTACACAAATAAATGGTAGTTACCTAAAGAAACCAGAAGGGGGCAGCAGCGACTAAGAGTTCAGTTGTCAACAAAAGCATATGATTTAGTGACAGATGGGATAAACAGTCAAATTTAACTAAATACACCAAACAGCTGACACTGTGTGTGTTTGCTCCACCTTCTCAAACAGATGCTGTAAAACAGGATTTTATTTTGGATAAAGTGTGTGTGTGTGTTGTCATCGTTTTGGCAATATCTTTAAGCTGTTTTTCTCCACATATTGGATGGGCAACATGTCTCTACATACTGAAGATACAGATATGGTGTAGATGTCCAACAGATCAGTGCCGCAGTTGTTGATGTCTGCATTATGCTGAAGTTACTTGTGTCAAAGCGAATTCTGAGGAAAACCTTGTATTTGTATTTGCAGACATGTTTTCTCTTTAAGTGACAAAAAGGTTGCCTGTATTACCCTTTCTGGCAACAACTGCCACTTTTGTTTTCCATCGTTTGTCTAAAATCATTCAACCACCTTTCTTAGTGCGCCACTGTTTGCTTATTTGAGTTTAAGAAGGATACAGCATGCTCATACGTTTTAAAAAGGCACTGAAAATGTTAACAGCAGCACTGGTTAACATGCAGTGAGTTGTGCTGATGTATGTCATGCAATTTTAGTGTTTTGACAATTAAAATCCATTGTTTTATTGTGAAAAATTGTGTAGCCACATCCACATGATGGTGCACATCTCAACCAGTCCGCTGTACACACCATTTATACCGCCCACTCCCATCTAATCTAAACATCACCAAGAGCTTGTTTAGGCTGTGAACTTTCCCTTCAAAAGGTCAAATGCTATGAAGAGAGGAACCATTGACGGCTCTGATTACATGGATTATACTTCTGCAAACATAAAACAACTATGGCAGTGATTCAGAGTGGGTTTAACAGGAAGTAGGGACTTTCAGGTGAGGAAGTGGTAGCAGCAAATGTAAACAGCCAGCACATTAATCTCAGCCTTTCACTGCCCAAATAAGGACATATGAAGGAAAGTACAACTACAGTCTCAAAACAGTCGGTGACCTCAGCTCAATAAACAGCTAAATCATTCCCCAGCTCTGATTCCTACAACACATATTTGGGCCTAATCTAATCCAGAGGGTGAGGTCTGCACCCATCCCTGTGTTACAACAGCCCTTTCGCAATAAAAGCATGTAGTCTCTTGTCACTTATTAGCTCAGGAATGTCTGAGTTCAGGTGTGAAGGGTGAGGCAAACCTTACCATCACTGTGCAGTCCTCGGAGCCGCTGGCGATGACCTGATCATTGTGGGGGCACCATTCAATGTCTAACACCGGGCCTGTGTGACCACACACTGTGGGGTAGGATTTGTCAATGCGTCCCGTCTGTAAAGACAAAGATAAACAACACAGAGTAATGAGATTACTGTAGTCTTAGTCTGGTCCCGCTTAGAGAACATTGTTCATGCTGGAGGAGTAGCTGGAGGAGTAAGCATGTTTTTAAACAGGACAATTACAGTATAATCCCAAATCCCACCTGCAAAATTGAGCTCACTCACACTCACAAACACACACACACACACACACACACACAAAAACACACACACCTTAACAGAGTCATTTTACAGGGGAAATGAAATTACATGTGAGTGACACAGCCTGAGCAGTGAATCAGAACTGAGGGCGATACAACAGATTTACTGCATGTCCAAAAATAATGTTGCAACACTCTTTATTGAAATGAATAATTTTTTTAATTGAGGATTGGAAAATTGCTTTCATAAACCGAGTGTATTTAAAGAAACCAGAACAAACCTCATGTTAGCTCAAAATGCTTGAAGACCAAACATATACTGGAAATGAGCGGTTCTGGATTTGATTACACAACAATACATAATACAATTTCACCCACATTTACCACCAGTCGGGTGAGAGCACTTTATGAAGATCAACTGTGTGAGGTCAGAAAAGTTCTTGTGAGATTTGAGGGGAAATCCCAGACCCACAAAAACTCCAGCCAAGTGCTGCAGACTATTATGCATTTTGAGAATTACATTTAGCATTTTGAGTCTTCTTACATAGTGGATTAATAAATTATGGAGCACAGAGAAGAACGAACCTAACCCAAAAAGCTGGAGAATCCCCAACCCTGGTTTGTGACTCTATAACTCATCCAAAAAAGAAGCTAGGTTTTATTGGTGCTACACAGAAGCAAACCGAGATTAGATTTACCCCCCACTGGACCACACACAGTAATTAAGCAAAGTTATTAGTGGTGACGTCATTATACAGTAGATGCATGCCAACAGATGCTTAGTTTTCCACAGCATCTCCTCACTTTAAAATGGTAACCCTGACTCAAACACTAAACTGTGCCCTTTACGTAACCTACTTATACAACTAATGGACTGGACAGCTAAAAATGATGCTCACATGCACACAAACGCAAACATAAAGAGCTTTCAGTTATACTGTACATCCTCCTCTATCCTCCTAAAAAAAAAAAAAAAAGAATTAGCCCGCAGGTGGATTTGACTGCTGAACCCTATGAGCCAGGAGAACCAGGTGCTCTTTCCACATGATGAGGTGACCTAGCAAATCCATGCTGTAGTGGATGGGTGTCTTGAGACACACCCTAGACTGTGTTGACTCCAAGTACCACCGCAGGGCTGGAGAAATGATGTCACTTACTGTGGAAAGAGTCCTGCTGCTACAGCCCTATTTAAAGCACGATGGCTTCCCTAATACAAAAAAGAAAAGAATCACTCACTGCCCACAGCTATTCTGAAATTATAATGGGAATAGCAACAATTATGGCTTGAGAGGAGCTACTAAATCTAAGAAGTGTATATTCAGTAATGAGTAAGAGGTACAACCAAAACTAGACTTAATCCCCATGAGAACTTAAATTAAAGCAATTACTAATGTTAATGCAAACAGAGGAGCTCTCTACAGTCAAACAGTATGCTCAAGGGATTTACAATGGCCGTATACTCCAAACACATTTTGAGTTCAAACAAGAAAAAAAAAAAGTCATGTCTGTCCAAAAAGAAGCACTGTATTGGACATAAGTTGTAACTGCGTGTGCAGACCAGATGAGTTTTAAACTGGCGGGAATGTAGCTCACCTGGCCTCCACCCAGCACTTTTCACCACCCCCGAAACACCGTTACATACAACTGCATGTTATGTGATGTATGTCTCTAGTGGCTTCCCATTTTTCAGTCAATTTACTTTTGTAAAAAGGTACTTTTGAGTCGTGTCTTCTCCCACTGCAACATATTCAACAGCAGTTTAACAACAAGCCTGATTCCATTTGTAAAACAGTAGTGGGGTTAAGTAGCAAGAACTGAGTGTTACTTTAGTCTGTGCGTCAGGGCTACAGAAGACAGGGCTACTGGTGTGAGTAAAGTGACAGTCTCAAAGCTCCAAAGAGACCAAGCTCACCACAAACTATACATTATGGCTTTTGTAGCCAAGTGATTACATGTGACTTAAAGCTTTCAAAAAGGACAGAACTGTCAGAGAGATAAATCAGAAAACAGTAAATAATGGCCTTTTAGCCTCTTTCACTGTCTGTGGCACACTATGTTCAGAAGAGCAGCAAATAAACAAAGAAGTTTATCCAGTTTTGTAGCAAACAGGTCATTTTCACACAAACTGCTGAACTGAACAAAAAATTTAGATTTAACTAAGTGTGTAGTTGAACACACATTTCTGACAGAGTGACTCCACTAAGAAACAAAAAGACCCAAAGGCCAGCAGTTGGATGGTGGTGTCAACCTTAGAGGAACAGACCAGTCCTGGATATCAGCGTCCAGGCATTCCTGCTCTCTGACATTTCTCTGCCTCTGCTTCAGCAGATAACACAGCTTAGCACTTAAAAGTCTGCTGCTGCTACAGTTCACAACCACAGGTGTGTGGCTGATATCAGTAAGTAACATGATTCATATCTCAACAGTCTGTTCATATTCGGTGAGACTGAACAGATGTGTAAGGTTTACTGGGTCAGTACAGTCCTACAATGGCTGGACATTTATACAAATCAAAGTGGCTCTGATGTATATGAAAATATTAGGCCTGTAACCATGCAGTCACCTGACTGACACAGAGTCGGGCTGTGACACATGCGCTAACTCCAAGTTTAGTGATCAAAGTCCAGTGTATGTGAGAATGAAGTGTATGTGTGTGTATGTGTGTACTTGTAGTATGTGAATGTCACAAGATCTTGTCTGAACCTCACCCTGACTGCTGAACACACCCTGAAATCTACCCTGAAGCTGAGTGTAAAGAAAGTAGACTTTGACACTGCTGTCAATAGAAATCTATGAGCCACCATCTGGTATCAGATAACATGACCATTAAATATGAGACTGGTGAGCTGAGATGTATTTTACAGCAGAGTTCACTGGACTTTTCCAGCAACTGATTTCCTGAAGACGGAAAGAACGGTGTAAAGCAGGAAGGACACAGGCGGCCGGGTGCAGCAATGGGAACAGCATAAACGAGTCTGACAACAAACCAAGCGATAACGGTGATAAGACGAGCCAACAGTTCAAACTTACTCTGCACTGTACTTCATTTTCTTTAATAATGTTACTATTCCTATAGTAATTGCTTCACACTATTTTGATAACATTAAGAGAGATCTAAAGTATTATGGACCATGTTCAGTCTAGTTCACACCCACAAAGGCAGAGTATCACTCTTAAGTATTAACACAGCCAAACCAGTTCGGTCATGTAAAACAGACAACGCTGTTTCAAAATCAATCGGTGCTGCACTACTGTGGAGCAGTCTGTGTGCGTCTATGGTACATAATCCAGACGGGTGGTGTTATACTATGCACACTGTGGTTTTATGTTCAATTGGCTGCTACTATGCATTAAACTAACATACCCAACAGTGCTGGATAATTGCAACAGATCTTACACTTGGTGTGTAAGACAAAAAGGGAGCAGACTGTGACCTGGGTGTTAACTTAATTGCTGATGAAGGGTTGGTCTAAATGCAATTATGTACACAGAACATTTCTGATAAGAGTGCATTAATGTTTTATGTCTGTCCTTGCAGAAGTCTGGTCGAGAGAGCCCAAAGATTAAGACCACCTACAGGAGCGTGCTACAAAAGACTCCTACATTACATCTTACATTAGTCTCCAACACATTTTAATCACCAGTGTATGCTTAAAAATTATTTGAAGAATAAATGAATTGTAGTTTCTACGGCTGACTTGTAGCAACGAACCATGACGTCCCAGTAACACTTGAGCTAAGCTCGGGAGCTCGACCTCCAGATCAACCCGAGAGGGGCAGAGGAGAGAGACAGTTCGACCTGAAAGCCAGGCGTTCCTCACATTCCACACCTCGGCCCCAGGCAGTTCTGGTATGGGTATGACTAATGAGAGCAAGAGGTCTGCTAGGGTGTCAAATATAGCACCCTTTGAGGTGTTAATGGTGTTTGTGTCTGATATACATGATTAGGAATTCCAGGGTCTGAAGAGCGAACACAAGTGGATCTTGCCTTGAGCCTGCATAAACATCTGATAACATGATACACAAGGCAGGAACGCTGTTTGCATGGAGTTAGGTCACAACCGAAGCTGTACACAGAACACAAACCTCACTGCAGTGGGATCACCTGTGTAGAACAGTGCAAGTCAGGTAACCTGTATCAACCTGTTACATTCCCCCATCTGTCCCTTTGAAGAAAAAAAAAAAAAAAAAAAAAACAGCTTCAGGCAAATTTGCAAGTCCGTATTTGTCTTAAAATTAGACATTTTTTTGCCAGAAAGTTAAGTACCAACCACAAGCATGATGAGATGTCACTCAGGAGAGGAAGATACAAGGTGATAAATCTGACAGTAATCAAGCTTGAACAGCGATGGCTCAAGGATCAACAGATTAATGTTCCAAAAAACACAAGACCCAGTTTGGACATATCTAATTTGGTTGGAACCTTTCTTGGTGTTGGACAATAGTCTGCTCTAGTTAACAGACATTTAAAATAGCAATCAATGTCCCTGACATTTTAAACAACAACTTAAATACATTGTATCACACGAAAACTAAAAACTGCAACTTAAAATGAATCAGCGTGTACGATTTAGTAGCATCTGCCAGACTGTAACAAACTGAACACCACTCGTGTCTGTATATGACGACTTGGGAATGAGAACGTGCTGTGAAATGTGTAGGAGAAACTATGGTGGCCCTATCCACAGCCAGTGTTGGGTTTGTCCATTCTGGGCTACTGTAGAAACATGGTGGTTCAACATGAGCAGCTCCATGGAAAGCGGCCTGCAGCGTCCGTTGCACACTGAACCTTTAATTTGATAAGTATTTGATGTAATGCCGTTCTATGCAAATCAGTGGTGATGTGTAAGGA